TCCCCCGGGGGGCAGCCACCGTGCAGACTCCCGCACCTCAATGCCAACGGACCCCTCCGATTGCAGGTGCTTTCTGCATTCCCTTGTACGTGCCCTATGTGCTGACGGGGAGATGGATCTTCGGGAGAAGCCTCTGCAAACTCTGGCTGGTAGTTGATTACCTGCTCTGCACCTCTTCGGTCTTCAACATCGTACTGATTAGCTACGACAGATTCCTCTCGGTGACAAGAGCGGTGAGTCCTGTCATGGCAGCTGAGGGGGGAATAACTCTCCTCCCGCTTTAGTCTCCAGATTCTCTGCAATAATTAAAAGCTCATAATTTCCAGAGGATTCAAAGAATCTTTCAGCCTGGTGATGGAAAGCAATAATTATCCAGAAATACATAATTCAGCTGTGGTTTCAGATTAGTATTTCTGGCATAATTAAATCATTTAAGGTTCAGACCCCATTGCGCAGGTGTTCCCTTCGCAGAGGGCAGGATAGCAGTGTACAAGTGAGTCAGTGAGGTAAGCAGACCTATTACTAACTTGCAGGGGCTTCTTATCTCCAGGACAAACAAGTGGATTGCAGTCAGACCCCCAGCTTATCCCTCTCTACCAAGGCGGTAGGTTGCAGTACCAACTTCGGCAGGGCACTGCCCTCAGGTCTCCGGGTACACGGCGAGATGAAAACGCTCAGCCTTTTGTAGGAGGTAATAGGCAACTCGCAGGCAGATCAGATCCATTGCTGTTTGCTTGTTCCCTGACTCTAAATACACCATGGATTAGCTACAAGGCTCAGAGAGAGGCAGAGCTAGATGCCTGCCTAGCCCAGGAGTTTGATGCATGCCTCTCCGCGGGAGTTGCAGAGGGTAGCTGGGGACAACTCGGGCAAGTGGTGGGGTGCAGCAGACTGCCGGGCTCCAACCAAGTCAGTACATTTCCACTAAGCAGAAGCCACATCTGTTTTTGGAGCTGCAAGATGAGCGTTCTAAGTCTTCCCTGCAGGAGTGTGATTTATCTAGCAATTGCTCCTGTTGCCTATGGCATATGAATTTGTTACACTGCTGGGATATTGCCTAGCAACTTTACCAGGAACACTAACAGTCATTTGTGAAGGGCCTCAACCAGTTGGGGTGTGTGGCCGTACTTAAGAAAAGGTTTCCCCGTTGCAGGTCGCTTACAGAGCCCAGCAAGGCAACATCAAGCGAGCGGTGCTGAAGATGGTGATGGTATGGGTATTAGCGTTCCTGCTTTACGGACCTGCCATTATCAGCTGGGAGTATATATCAGGCCAGAGTATCATACCCACTGGGGAATGCTACGCTGAATTTTTCTACAACTGGTATTTTCTGATGACAGCCTCTATGCTGGAGTTTTTCACCCCTTTCATCAGTGTAATGTTTTTCAACCTGAGCATTTACCTGAACATACAGAAGCGTACCAAAATACGCCTGGATATTTTCCACGAAGCGCACGACCAGTCCTTCACTGACGAGATGGAGATGAGCCCAGAAGCAAAGCTTGCTTTGAAATGCTGTAAGCAGAAGGATTCAGCTGAAACCCTCGGCAAAGCTCAAGCAGCAGCCTCCACTGCCAGCCCGGGTGCGAAAGACCTGCTGTCAACAAGCTCTGAGCGCGTCGGGAAACCTAAGTGTTGTAACAAAAAGAGCTGTAAAAATTCAGCATCCACTCTGTCCTTAGAGAAACGGATGAAGATAGTGTCCCAGAGCGTGACTCAACGCTTCAGGCTCTCTAGAGACAAGAAAGTGGCCAAATCACTGGCAATCATTGTGGGCATTTTTGGGATTTGCTGGGCACCGTACACTCTCCTGATGATCATCCGCGCTGGCTGCCATGGCCACTGCATCTCTGACTACTGGTACGAGATTTCCTTTTGGCTGCTGTGGATCAACTCGGCTGTCAACCCTGTCCTGTACCCTCTCTGCCACTACAGCTTCAGAAGAGCTTTTATTAAACTCCTCTGTCCCAAGAAGCTAAAGATTCAACCTCAGGATCCCCTTCAGAACTGCTGGAAGTGAAGCAGGCGGATGAGAAGAGCCTTGGTTTAATACACCTGTGTTAAGGAAAAGTCCTGTATCTTCCTTCCTTGGAGGAACCTGGGAGCCCTGGTCTGGGGTATGTGAGGAAGGCAGCAGTGAGACCACTATTCATTTATTCTAGTCCATCGACAACAAAACCACGCAGAATAGAAGGGTAAGGGGTTTTTGACATTAACCACAGGCAGTGAAATCTGTGTCCTCCACTTGCAGGTGCCACAGAAGAGCTCTGCTGCCACCTAGTCAGCCAGAGCGGCACCAGCATTTTGTTAAAATAAAAATAATTGAAAGAAATAAAAGCTAACAAAAATAAATATGTAACCTAAAACCACTGGACTAAACTACAGTTCACCTGCTTGCAGACCTGAGTTTTCCCATGAACGGGAGGGTGCTTTCCTTACATCTAAGATATGTGACAATACAGAAAGAAAAGAACAAACTTCAGAAGGAAAACACCTCGTTTGTCATTACTGCTACAGCAGCTACAGCCTTAATCGAGATTGCCACTGCACGTGGTGCAATAGATGTCCCTTCTCCTACCCAAGAAGGGACAAATCTCTGCCCTAAGAAGTCTACAGCCAGACTCAGATGCGCTGAGCATCCTGAAGCACCCTGTTGGCATTCCCTCATCCCTTCAAAACTGATCCGATTTCCTCTGCGTCCAGCCACACACTGACCAACGCTCCCACAGCACATGGGAGCACTTCCCTCCTGCCCGGAGCGGTGCAGCAGGAGCAAGCCCAGTCCCTGGCCCTGCGGGACGTGGGAGCCCTGGCAGACCCGAAGAAGAGGGCTGCTGTGCCTACGTGAAAGGTGCCAGCAGGGTATCAGCTTCTCCACAGTCTCCCTCATGATGACCCAAAGACATTTAAAAATCTCTTCTGCAGGATCTTAAAAATACTCTTTTGGCAATGTGCTAGTGAATGACAAGCACTGGGAGAAGTGAAGCTTGTGTTCCATTTTTTAAGTTAGTTTCAGACCTCTTAATTTTAGCAAGTTCCAGAACTCTTGCATGCTTCCTTTTAAAATACATAATTTGAATGGAGACCCGGGTCAAGCTGATCCAGGCAACGTAAGCATCTGTTTGTTTATTTATTTATTTATTAAGCAGTCAACTAATTCCACAGATAGAGCATCAGATTCAAGAGACCAGGGCTCCATCCTCAATCTTAGCGTGAGATCTTGGGCATTTTATCTCTGCTTCCCATCTCATGCTTCATCATACTTGCCCATTTATTCTGTAACCTCTTTGGGAACAGAGGTAGTATGACCATAAAGCAAAACACTTCAACTCCCCATCTCTGTTGGCACTGCTCAGTGATATAGTACTACAAATACATAATTAGTTGCCATGGCAAATGTTCATATTTAACAGTATTGTACAGGGAAGCTCAAGATCGTAAGTCTGAAAACTACATTTACAAATAGAAACCCAAATGCTGTAAAGTAGTACCCAAAAGCTTATGATGTTGTGATTGCCAATTCCACTTAGCTGTTGTAAGCACGCTGCTTTTTGGCTGCTGCTAGGAATAAAAGAAAATGCTACCCAACTTTATTCCAGTGACGTTCGTTGAGTGGATCAGTATTGTCATCTGAAGTCAGGTTTTAAATGATATCTTGTTTTGTGTATATGATATTTCAGTCTTGTGACATGTTCAGTCAGACCATTATATATGGGTTAAAATATATCCTTTGAAGTATGTGTACTGAGAATTGACAGTATATACTGTTGAGCCTGCTTGTACCTTTCCTTGTGTCTGCTACCTTCTGAAAACCCCAATAAAGTATTTTTATATGAAGTTTGCCAAATATTTTATGGTAAACAGAGTGTTGCTGGAAATGATAAAATCCAACTGAAAGTAAAACATCTATGGATTTGTCTGAGGAGTCAATTAAAGTAGATACATTTTGCAAAAAAATAGCTCCTAAAACAGCTGAGTTTCTCTTACCTCTGATTAACAGGTTCCTGACAGCACACTGGCGTGAGAGCACCTCACTTAATTCTTCCCAATTCTGGCTCTTTTCCAGAGCATGTTACATGCAACTTAGATCTGAAAAGGTTGCATTAACATTAACTCCTCCTGTGACTTACAAAATCCACTGGCCTGCCTAAAAAAAGACGAAGTCATAATGTGAACGAGGTACCAGTTTCCAGCTGTGGTTCTCTTCATTTGTTCATACAGAGAGGTGGGACTACTAGATCATTCAGCCTGATAAAAAGAAAAGCTACCAACTGCATAACAGCTTAAGGGTGGAGAAATTGTTGTGTCTGTCTTTTTTTTAACCTGGTATTAAGTAGGGGTTACCTACTTCACGTTCTCACCCTCCAAAAAAAGGATTTTGGTTTCCTCTTTCAAAGATTATCCTGCATGATATTCACTGGATCAGCGGAAGGTCTTTGAAATACAGTAGAAGCCAAGCAACTGTTAAAATGATAGTAAATTGGTTTTAAAAGAGAAATAGGCCCCATTTCATGTGATCTTCCATCATTCAAAGAGCCAGCTTTCCCCAGGAAGATTTTATCAGCTTCTGAGGTCATGCCCACAACACTTGTTCCTGTACCACTTTCTTTTGCCTGCACATGACACAAAAGGCTGTTTCTTGTACCTTGATGTAGAACACACATCCCTCTGATCCCCTGACTTCTGCTCACCAGTCCTCAGCGTGCTTGCAAATGAATGTTGATTGCATGCCATCTACTGCCACCAAAACGAGTACGATGCTACAGGTAGCTGCTGAAAAGTCAAAACAGGTACCAGTTATTTAACAGAACTGAGTAAGATGACAACATAACGCACCTTGCTGGGTTCCTTCCCTTCTTCCATTTCACGGGGGTTGTTTTTTCACAGAAATACCCCCAAACATATCTGAAAGCCCAGGAATCTTATTAGCACAGACACTTCTGCCATTTTAAGGGAGAGGAAACTTAACAGAAAAGATAAAAGTTAATCTGAACAAACTCTCGCAGCTTTCTGTGGTTAACAGCTCAATCTCTGACAAACTAGACCTGGGAATACCTTCCATACTGCGGTTTTGTTACTTCTGACTAAACAAATAAATGAACAAAGAATTTATCAGTCTTTCCTATATGAGGCATTTGCCTGAGCGGGGACTGGTAATTGGGCTTTCTAGTAGAATAAAATAGGAAGATGACAGAGGGGGTTGGTTTTGTTTTTCTTATTTCCTCCACATTCCGATACACGTCAAGAACGTTAAAACATCGTTATGCAAGAAGACCAGAGCTAAGAAACAGGGAGCATATACTGAGTTATTTTAGCAGGCTTTTTTCCCCCCATTTCTATAAATTTCCCCTTCTTAGAGCTTGAATTCATTGAATCAAATTAAAAAAAAAAAAAAAACCACAACACATGAACACTCTTAGCTCCAGAACTGGTTTTCCTGCACGTGATGAGCTGAGCAAGCAGCCATTTAAAAAGGGAGTTGCAACTGTTTAGATTCTGAACATGATGTTTTTCCAGATAGTCTGAGCCTCCGATCTCAAATTCTTAGCTTATGGTTAAGTATTTATGTACTGAAGGCAAACAGCAGGTTTTCCCCTACATCCATTAGTAGTAACTGTTCAAAAGTGATGAGACCAGCTTTAAATGTCAAGGTGCCTTTGCAAGCACATGGGCTAGGAATTTTTTGTCTTTCACATGTTCACACAGTCAAAGAGCTGAAGCTGTAAACAAAATACCTGGTTCTAAGAGACTCACAAAATTCATAATACTCACGGGGAGCTGGTGGAGATTGGTTTTGCTTTCAGTGATCCATAAGACCATGATACACCTGCGCTGAAGTGCAGATGCCATCTCTACAAGCACCATGCTTGTACAGATACTTACATTCCTTCCTGAAAGAAGAGCTCTTGCTTTGCCAAATAAAAAAGAAAAATAATGACTTATGCCTGGACGTGAGGTCACACCTGAGCCTGGTTTTCATACTGAAAATGTTATAAGCTGGTTTGAAGTTTCAGAGTAGCTGATGACTAATTCAAACATGCTTAAAAGAGTGTTTGAATTCTGCTGATTTTTAGTGTTCAGAATATAAACGTCTGTATGCATTTGGAAGAGGCAGGGACTAGGAAGCTTCTAGGCATAATCAAATATGAACTGTGAAAACACATTACCCTTAGACAAGGTAGGGCTTCTTGTCAGCTAGCCTAGCAAAACACCTATATATGGTTTTTGCTACCATACCTGCTAACAAAAATGCCCCATTCCTATTGTCTACACATAAACTGAGCAGGCAGGACCTGTTTTCAAAAACCATGAAAGAAGACTTGCTGTAACTACGAATACGCATCAAATATTTGTGGAAGCACATAAGCTTCCACACAGAAAAGAAACCCAGCTATTTCCAGAGAGAAGTATCCAATTTACGCGTGGAGTGTTAGTAAACAATGTCCATGCAGCTGTAAATCGTACCCAGGAGCTTTTTAAAGAAACGGGCTAAGTGACTTCCCGTAAGACCTGTGCAGAGGTAATGCCGGTTCCCTTCTCTTGATACAAAACCTACACTCCATTAACTCGAGGACGTAAAGGCCACCATAACGAGGTCTGTGGTCCTTTCATAGAGCAGCATCTGCATATCAATAAACTATCAAAGAACATTTTTCAGCACAGCTACTTTCTTTTTGGCTCTGTAGTGCTTCCTCCCTCATCACCAATAATGAGACGTCTCTTTACACAGATAGAGGAACTTTGCTCCCACCCCCTCTTTCCAGTGCCCTTCCTCAATTACCATTCCTTATTTGTTCTCTCCAACCTGCAGTTATATAAATTGCTCCATTGTTCCAGAGGCATCACTGAAGCTTCATTAGCTCAAGTAGGAGGCTAGAGAAGAGAGAACGCAAGAAGGAGCTTTTGTTGAAAAACACCTGTCTGGGATAATTAATGAGATTTGCCGAGAGGGATGGGCTTTGAAATCGGGAAGATGCGATTATATTTTGATTTGAAAGAATGCTAATGGTTTTCCTTCCA